GTATACTATCCTTAAAATGAAGCTACATATATAGATAATAAAATAGTGAAAAATGTTTTCTCCGAATTAATATTAAAAGCGAGTCTTCTCTTTCCCAAGTGTCTTATAAAGCTTTCAATATATCTATTTCACAAGTCTTTCAAATATATAATATACTTCATAAATTATTTATTAAAAGCGCACAATAATTTATATTCTATGATACATGTAAGCAAGATATTTGTCATAATTTTTATTAGTAAATAAAGTACAAGCGCTTTTGTCGATAAACTTTTCCATTTGTTTTATAGTTGTTTACCTAAAGTTATCTCACTTGACAAATGTTTTGCCTAATCTAAAATATTCCTTTGTGGTTGGTCTTGCTGTTTATGTTTTACAAGAACACATTAATAAAAAAAAAAAAAAATTAAATAAAATCATAAATTATTTAATAATTCGCCAATGATTTATATAACTTTGCTTATGACAAAAATTGATCTCTATCTATTATATCATAAATTGTAATCAATTATTAAAATCTTGCTCATAATGTAAATGAAAGAAAGAAATAATAAAGTTTTAGTTTTTGGAGTTGAGATCTTTGAAGTCATTCTTTATTTTATGTTTCTTCATAATTTCTTCTTAATTTTCCCATATTTTATCAATTTTCAAGAATTAAAATTTTTGTAATCCATAATATTCATAATTTTAAAATTCTAAGTGTATTTGTTCAGAATCGTGTTTCTTTTTAGACTTTTTATAGAAAATTTTTAGAATTTTAAATAATGCAACTTCTTATCAATTATTTATCATTTATATTTTTTTAATTCTTTGTCGATTTTCAAAATATATTTAAATTTTTGAGTTAAAGTCTCCAAATATAAAATTTTAGGAATTGTTATTCTTAGAGATTTCAGATTTAGTGTCTAAAAAAAATAAGAGATATTTACAAAACAAATGTTTTAATGTTTTATTCATATTTTATTTTACACATCGTAATAAAAAATTATATTTTTTTATATATAAAAATAAATGTATGTGTATATAAAAAATGTGTGTAGTAGATATGTCAGTTATATACATATATTAAATATAATTATATTATTGTAAAATAATATAGTTATTCTAGTATTACGACATTATACAAAGTTTATTACTTATAATAAACATAATAAACATATTAAAATTAATATATTTAATTAATAATAAACATATTAAAATACAAAAAAATTATTTATAAGTTGTTTTGTATGTATGCGTGTATATATATATATTTTGTCTCTAAATGTTATTTAATATTTTTTGTGCTTCTTGTTTCGCTTTTTGATCATCATCATTTTTTGCAGGGTATTCAACAGTTTTTTTCAAATATTTTATCGCATCTTCCTTACGATTTAATTTTAAATATGTCTTTCCTAACAAAAGTAAATTGTGACTATAAAAATTTGGATCTATCTCTTCAGCTTTTTCAAGATACATCGATGCTTCTTCAAAGGATGAAACTGGTGGTTCTTCAAATATGACAGATGCTATTTTTCTTTGATACCATGGCAAACTTGAAATCTTATAACACCAGAATCCAATCATGTGAAATATCATTGCATCAGGATTTAATTCCATAGATCTCTAAAATATAAATTTTAAGAATTATAATTATATAAATATAATATTAATTATGATTTGCGATCATAGTAACTGTTGTCATGACTTGTAAAATTCAGACCATTTTTATACTTTATTTATTTATACATTTATATTATACATTTTTATATTCTATATTACAAAATTTGATATCTCACATCATTGTATTTGCGAACTAATATCTGTATTTTTCAATTAATTTTTTGTGCAATATCTTACCAGCATATGCTTTTTAATATTGTATGATTCTTTTATAAGTGTTTTTGTACCCTCTAAAGTACTTTTCTTGTTAAGAAGTATAGACATCCATTTATGAACAGCAAAATGATCTTCTTTAATATTAAGAGCGGTACATAACAAATCGTATCCCTCATAAGTTAACTTTCGAGCTTCAATGTCATTAGCGGTTTCAGACATCCAATATATAGCTCTGGACAAACGCCATAAGATTTCAACATTCTTATCATCCTATTTGATAAAAAAAAGTTATATTTATAAATGAATATGTAGGGAACATTATACAAATAGTTTAGAAAATTTAATTACCTTGTAGTTTGACAGAAGATCGTATATGCCTTTATAGTCTCCTCGATCAAAAAGTGAATCTGCTTCGTTAAGAAGTTCTTTCATTGTCTTTGAAGTTGTGGATTCTATTTTCTTTTCTTCATTGCTTTTGCTTTTTATGAGTCCCCATGTTCCCATAGCAGTAAGTGACGATATCATTGATAATTTTCCAACATTTTGTATGTTATATTCTTTCTAGAAAAAAATTATGTTAATATATTAACATATCTAGTAAGCAAACTATCTGCTAATAAATTGGCAATAAACTTGCTCGAAATATTATAACAAATCCAATATCATCTATTTGTATTAAGTTCATATAATACTGACAGATATTTATTTCTACTAATATAGATTAACTTGAATCTTAATTCAGCATTTTTTATCTTTTTTAGTCTCTTTTTAGTTCTAAGAATTAGAAAAAGGTAAATTAAACCGAGTTATTTTACATTGATAAAAATAAACTTGAATAATTGTTGCTATATCTATAAAATATAATTCCATACCTTATATGTCGAATAAATATTTCGTGCAACGGCTGTTTGGAGAAATTTGTTGCAGTTTGTAAAACGATATAACCTCTGCAACATCATTTTAGACCTTAACTTTTAATTGGATAACTTATCTCAGAAAAATTACAAAATAAAATATCAATAAGATATCAAGCAAAACGAAGTGTCTAACTCGCAAAGCGTATGATGCTTATTACATCAAAACTGATTTCTCATGGATGCGACAAATTATCTCATTTTTTCACGCTTACGTAAACGTTGATAAACGTAATAATTGCTAAATTATGTATTATAAATATTTATGCAATTTGTGCATAATTTGCACTTCGCGAAAGATGTGTACAAGCACAGTCGTATGATATCCTTGACATTGCCATTTCACTCGCCATCTTACACACACAAACACACACACAAACACACACACACACACATATATATATATATATTATATATATACATATATCTTCTCTGCACATAATATATTATGGATATAAATTTAAAAAGACGAGTTTTTTAATTCATCGATTAATAAATCACATTATGCGCAACTTTGCTCTAAAATAGTGAAAATAGCATTTGCGCATTATGCGATTAATCTTTTTTAATTTATATTCATAATATATGTGCGATACATACATAGTTATTCAATCATGTTTTAAAAGACAATATATGTAATGTTAAATATACACCTTTCTGAAAATAATTTTGTAAGCATATAAAGAATCTTAATCTCAAGATAATATATAAACATTAATGGTGTAATATAAACTAAACGTTGTTAAAGTGGAATACAATTGCTATTATTTCGAGAATAAATGGGCCAATTTGGGTGCGGTTGAATTAGATCTTTATTTGGAAGATACACAGGTATTCATAGGATAGTTTAACGTAATCGAGATGGGGGAGGTAGGGGATAGTGATTAAACACAAATATACAAACGAAATACAATAAACAGTACTTTTCATCGGTGTGGTGTGTGGCTTATTGGCGGCACAGTATAAGAAACACTTCTTTTCTCTCTCTTTCCTTCTCTTTCTCTCTCTCTCTCTCTCCTTTCTCTCTTTCTTCTTTCTCCAAAGTCTAGTTAATAATTGTACAATAAACTCGACTTATACGTTAAAGCCTCGCACACTAATCGTTTTCTCCATTTTAAAAATAATCATGTTTTTTCCTTTTTCTCGTAATACAAAAAAATCAGGTAATGCGTTACACCGTAAACGAAGACATTGCACCGCAATCTCTTTCGCTTGGCCATGACTGCGTGGGCGCGATCACTGTGAAGAATTTTGGAATCACACAGAAAAAACGGGAGAAGGAGCGATGACAATTTTTTATATGTATATCACAACACGTTTTTATATGGAAAAAAAAATCTTACAAATTTTCACATATCGTAATTCATCTACAACTCTCGAGCTATGATTCTTTTGATGAATCTCGATTGTTTACATTCGTACATCGCAAATATGGAATACGCGATAAAATATTTTTAGCGGCTTAGAAAGCGTTGCTCACTATATCCTCTTTTTTCTGGTATCTTAGAAAATTCGTTCTGAAATGATGCGCAAGACAAAGAGATGGTCGTGCAAATCGCCTATCAATATACTTATTATCATCTTAACGTTATCTTTAAATACGTTCTTGTAGTCTTTACATGAAATGTTTGTATGAGTTCTCGGTTTTTTTGTATTTTTTTATAATAAAATTATTTTTTTTCTAATCTTTGTTAATCAGCTGTTGTTGCCCTGTGAAACCTGCCTTCTGTCACGATACAATAATACTTGCACGGTAGGTTCACACTTCTGAAATTTGGTTGTTTTATCTTCACATATCACAATGTTATCTCTGCATCATCTCTTTTCTTTTATTATCATTAATTTTCTTCTCATAATTACAAATACCGAATTCAAAATGCAATGTTTCATTTGTTCAATGTCATATTTAAGAAACATCCTAAGCCGCAAATCTTCGCAAATGCCAGTGTAAGATTCTTCAAACGCGTTCGTATCATACATAATTTCATATGATACACATTAGATGCAAGATGTGTTTTGTATACAACTTTATCTTCTCAAAATTACTTAATATCCGTGTGAACACGCAATAGATAAAAAAATCATGTAACACAGTTAAATCTGTATTACTAAAACTAATGACTTAATATACTTAATCAATCTTTAATATCAAAGATATTGTGTATATAATATTCTTAAGCATGCTGCACGATATCTACTTAAAGTTTCACCTCGTATCGCAAATGCATTGTTCCGACTTAAGCTTTTTCATAAATAGACAGTTGAATCGTAATCGCAGAGCATTAGTGTATTTTACTGTGCATTTACGCTAGTTGCAGCGTTTTTCTTTCTTCCTTATTGCGTGTGAGGCTTGCCACGTGGTGCGTATCCACCGCGGTTGTTTCCCCTTTGCCCTCTGAATTGTCCGCGACTAACGCGTTCGTTGCGTGCACCCCTTGATCCTCCGCCACTGCCACGTTTGAAGCCGCTGTTGTATCCGTTATTTCCTTCGTTGTTACCCCAGGCACGTTGCTGATATCCGTTTTGATAATTACTATCGTTGCGATAATACGTACCTTAAAAAAGAAATGATATTAATACCACATCTCTTAAAAAATTTTTATAAAAGATGACTCTATCTGATATTAAAATACAAATTTCTTTACCTTGTCCTCCGCGTCCGTTTTGCTGATAATTTCCCCTGCCTCTGCCATTATAGTTATTAGAGGTTCCTCTCCTGCCTCCCCTTCCTCTATATCCACGTTGATCTGGCACCCAAGTCTGTTGGGATGTCTGTTGGGATGTTTGTTGGCAATCTTGGACAGATTGTTGTTGTTGATCGGATTGATTCCAATCGTTGGTTTCAGTCATCTGACACCAATCAATAGATTCATTTGGCTGTTCCAGTGTTGAGTCCGTAATTTCATTTTGGCCATTTTCTGTCTTTTCCTAAAAGAATCCATAAATCATTGAGTATTAAAAATATTGCCAATAATTTGTTAACTAATTTTAGACTATTACCTCTGTGGAGGTTTGAGATTCTTGCGGATGCGTTTGCTCATTGAAATTTTGCATCTGCCCTTGTTGGGGCAATTGCTGTGCAGCATTCTGTTGCTGCTGTGGCTGAAAACTAGTTGGGTGTTGTGGGCTATATTGCATATTTGGCTGCTGATGAGAGGGTGGCATCGGAATCGGCGGTGGTGGATTAGGATTCGCGAAACCGGGAATGTGCGACATATCCTGCGGCGGTTGGTGTTGATATATAACCTGCTGAGGTACACCCACAGGTGCATTTGCAAAGTTCTGATTTGTGAAAGTCTGCGAGGGAATGGGCGCGTTAACTGTGGGAGGAATGTGCGATACGATAGGTGCTTGCGACGTGACATCCGGTGAATCCAGCTCGGATTCTTGCAAGAAAAAGAAATTGGGTGTCCCTATAACATCATTGATACGTGGTGCCGGTGGAGGCTGCTGTTGAGATTGCTGAGCTTGCGGTTGCTGCGGCTGCTGTTGTTGTTGCTGCTGTTGCTGCTGCTGTTGTGCTTGTGGAACGAAATTAGTGGCGTTTGTATAATAAGGAGTATCGACTGGCCCAGGAGGATGAGGCAACGGCTGTGGTACAACCGGTATGGGTCCCGAGACTGGAGCTGCGCCCGAGACAACGGGAAGGGTAGTAACTTGAACTGGAAAATTTGGAATAGGTATCATGGATTCCGGTGGAATGTGCCTGTCATTGCCATTGCTATATTCCTCATTGACTTGTTCCTGTGTTGCCTGTGTGTTGGTAATTTTTGTCTCCACCATAGTTTCGGTGATCTATATAAATTATATTTTATATAAATTATATATAATTATATTTTTATTTATATATACACGCGCGTGCGTGTGTTCGTATGTGTATCAGATTAAATTTAATATTCCAATCCATACCTCTTCTATTGGTGCCACTTCTGAACATTCGTGAACTTGATCGAAGTAGCCACATTGACTTATTTTTGCAAATATTTCCTTCAATTTATTGTAAGTAGTGCCGCTAACTTCACGTTGTTTTCCATCCACAATTGCAACATAATGCTCCGCTACTTTTTGAGCTTGCTGAACGAACGTCAGATCACCTTCCTCACGCTGTTGTTTTATCATCATCTCATTATACAAGTTGTCTAAATGCTTGAATTCTTCTTCCGACAGTTTTATAGCGCCATTTTTTCCATAAAAAAAGTCATCTCTAACAGAATCAGTGTTTATACTTATCAAGATTTGTTGGATAAGTAATACTTCTTTCACCTACAATCAATAATCATATTCTCTTAGACTCAAGTCTTGATGCATGACATAACGAAACAATTTTACTTTAAATTCATGTACTTTTGCGATATCTTGTTGCATACGTTCCACAGCCTCTTTCCGCGCCAACTTTTTCTGTTGTTTAGCAGAATCATTGGCAATGTTGACGATTTGCTTATACAAGTCCCGTGTAATGTCCAGTGTTTGTAGTACTTCGTCATACTTAGCTACTGCTATCTTTTGGTCAGAATTTAATTCTCTACCATTTTTTTGCAGATCTCTGTATGATTCAAGCTTACCCTAAATATAAAAAAAACATTTGTAACTCTAATTTCTTTTTGAGTATTCTAATACTGCTAATTACAGAACATTAGATGGTATAATCAAAAAAAGGGATTCTACAAGAAATAAATTGAAAATATAGAATATTAATTTTTCAAGCATATATGTATATGCTTATCTAACAGATGTTCAAATTCAATTTTTTTTAAAAACAAAGTCTTGAACAAAAGACTCTTATACTACATTGTTTTTTTCATGTAAAATTTCCCTGTTGTACTTGTTACAAAACATCCTATATACTCAATATTAATTGCGAGTCGTAAAAGTCATTATGTTCACGTTGTGTTTACGTTATCAGTTATCGGAATAATACGGGATGTCGTAAAAGTTCAGACATACATAGCGGTGGACATCGGGATACGATTTACAAATCTGTTTTCGATTCAAAAGGCTTAATGTTTACTTGTCGGAGAGTTTCACGCGAGTACACGAGCACGTGGCAAAATCGCAGGGCAAATCGCAGGGCAATAGTACGTCACGATCGAACAATAGTCGGAGCATGATGAAACGCCGGATGCTAACGACGGAGGCTCGGCGTCGAGCGGCGGGATTCCGGCGCGAGCGCGGCCGCCGACGGACGTCAACGTCATCGTCACCATCCTTATCATCGATAAGCGTGCCGAGCGTCGCGTCCCGCACGGGGAAACGTGCGTTAAAACGTGCGTCCGGAGACAAAGAAAGGGATCTCCCGCACGTAGAATCCGCATCACCGCCATGATACAAATAGGTTGGCGACGACGAGAACTGGCGTGTCCGGAAGTCCCGGAATCCCCGCTGCTCGAGCCGCGTGTCGCCGAACGGAACGGACGCCCGATGCTCGACTCGTCGACCGGGAACGAAGCGGAACGAGCGTCCCGAGCCACGCATCGCGGGTACCCTTGAAAAATCGAAACGCGAGCACATGGCACCGTAGAAGATCATGGCGGATCGCGCGAGGAAGAACGAAGCTACACGGCGACTGACAGATTGACTTTTGCCTGTAATTACGTCCCGTCCAGCCACGACGTTGTATTTACCTTACGCTTCTCGAGATTTCGTATCTTGTGCTCGATTACGATAATCGCTTGGCGTAAGGGTTCCACGGTCTCCGTAGAGGCCTGTTTTTCTAGTTTAGGGTTGGCAGAAGGCATCCTTCACGGGCAACAAACACGAACTGGAACTCGGGATGCTAACCAAAGTTGAACAAGTCGCAAGTGGGAGGGGAAGGGTGGAGGAGGGAAGAGGTGAGTAAGTGGGACGACGGAATGGCGGGCCGAACGTTTCCGAATATTCGGGATTCGCATGCGCGCGATGTATACTTTAAAGATTTGTCCAAATGAACTCATATAATCTAATTCGATTTTTTCTCTAGTTTCCCCATAGAAAAACTGTACTTGTTTATATTAAGAAAAGGTTGTGCGATTCTTTTTCAAAAACCGCGATAAAATTGTTTAACAAAATTTTTGTTTGATAAATATGATTTATTGTTGCTGATAGAATCTTTCTTTTCATGTGTGTAAACAATAAAAAAATAATTTTATTCTATTAATGGTAAAATATGGACTCAAGTGCGATAAAAAGAAAAAGAAACAAAGAATTTTACATATATGAAATCACGCCTCAATACAACAATAATCAAAAAATATCAAAATGTTTTTTCATTGAAAAAATAATTTTTCATTTTTAATCTTTACATTCATCTTCTATTATTTTAAAACATTCTTCTAATTTCTTGTATTATTATTTTTTTCCAGTTCCTTCATTATTTCTGTTCGTTATGTCCAGTCCTAAAGCTAATATCCCATTCGAAAAAATTTTTGAACGTGTTGACTGGTTACACGATGGAAAACTCTTGGGGACTTGAAAATTTTACTTTATTTTTTAACCAAACAAAATGCTCCACTTTGTAAATATATTCTATACATTCATGAGAGGGTGCAGTCCATTTGCTGCTACAAAACTTCAAAGTATTTGCTTAACCAAGCAGAATGAAGAATTTTATGAATTGACCAATCAAAAAATGCTTCGAAACATTTATAGCACCAAATAGATCGCACCCAGAATCATCCTTAAAGCCAGCGGCACACGATGTTCTTTTTCTTGCTGGTTTGCTAGCTGGATTCGCTGGATTGCTTGAACTCTTGTTTTCGATTGATATGTTTTTTTAGATCCAAAAGAATATACCAATCAGAGACAAGAGCTCAACGAGCACGCAAAACCAGCTAGCAAATCAGCAGGAAAAAAAGCATCGTGTACCGCTGGCTTAAGATAGAATGAGCGTCTGCTAGCGGCCCCGCTATCGCGCATGCGCGAGATCTGTCCCTCCATCTCGCAACGCAGCTCGCATCTCGGCAACGTTGTTAAAATCCCGCGCGTGTGGTTTTTCTGTTTCCACTCTCGGTTCTTCACCTTCACCGTTTCCCAGTTCCGCCGGTCGATCTTCGGTGCTTCGTGTTGTATGACGTACGGTGAAGTTTTGTCAGCCGCGCGTTCCACACACTTTTCATCGCACACGGGCATCGTACGTTGCCAGGATGCCGAAGAGGAAGCATCAGGCTCTGATAGACTCCGACAGCAGTGGGAGCGCGTCGGAGAGCGGCTCGGATCTGGACAATGTAAATAGCTTAGCCTTCGTAGCGTAAAAAGTTGTATGCCATTCACTTTCGCTGGTCGGACATTTAATCGCGCGCGATCTCCATATTTTTAATCGTAGCATTAATTTTCACGTTTGTCGTACAACGACTTTCAGAATATACTCGATTGTTCGAGTGATTCTGCACAATTCGCAGACATTTACGAACATTTCATTTATTTTTTATGAATTACAAATGAATGCTCTGAGATGAAACAATGTGCTTTCCGCTTAGTTTTTTTATTTTCTCCTTTTTTTGTCTTTTAACTATATATTATTTTGAACATGATAATGTGACCTAGTTGTATGAAATAAAAAATATATAATTTAATGCTACAATGTATTGTATTTCGTCAAAGCCTGTGAAGTATAATGCAAATTGAAACAAAGTTATTATTATTGTTTCTAGAATGATTTTATCATTAATCCAATATCAATAATCTAATTTTTTTTATTGTACTTTGTCAGGATTTATTATCACTAGCAAAGAAAAAGAAAGGAAAGTCCCAAGATGATTCCCAATCAAACGAAGATAATGGATCTGTTAAGAAAGATATTAAACATGACTCAGATTTATCAGATTCCGATGATAACTGGAATAACAAAACTGGAAAACCAAAAAAGAAAAAAGCACCAGCAAAGAGAAGCAAACGAAAGATGACAAAGTCTAGTTCTGAAGATAGTGCTAGTGAAAAAGAACCAGCTAAGCAACTTTCAGAGCCAGAAGAAGGTATTTAGAAAGAAGATATTTATTTTAAGAAGAAATTTATTTTATAAATGTATATTTTCTTCTTTTTTATATATAAACATATAATGTTTAAACATATATATTTAATATATAAACATTTTTTAATATAAACATAATTTTTCTTTAGTTTTAATATTACAATAATTATTTTCTATTGTGGCAGGTGAAGTATCAGATTCAGATCCAAGTGTTTCCAGTTCTAGCCAAGAAGAATTCAATGATGGCTATGATGACAAACTTATGGGAGATGCAGAGGATCAAGCTAGACTCGCGCAAATGACTGAGAAAGAACGTGAGCAGGAAATCTTTAAACGAATTGAGCAACGTGAAATTATGAAAACAAGATTTGAAATTGAAAAGAAACTGAGAATGGCCAAGAAACAAGAATTGAAAAAGCAAAAGGAATCGAAAAAGAAAGAAAAAGGTGTTGAGGAGAAACAGAAAATCGATAGAGCACCGGACCCTAAAGAGAGAAGTAAAGATCGCAAAAAGACAATAGAAGAAAAACAAGATAAAAAATTTCATGCAATGTCATTGCTTAAAGCTAGACGTGAAGAGAAAAAAGAACGAGGTAAAGAATTTACATATTACTTTACACATCTTCTTTACACATTATTTCTAATGCCATTTTTTTTAAATAGAGGAAAAAGAAAAACAGAGGATAGAACAGCAACAACAGCAAACGAAGGATATAGAGGAAGAAGAATTAGATGATGATCATAAAGGTGGTACAAATAAAACAAAACTTAAAGCATCTGATATATATTCCGATGATAGTGGTTCATCAGATAGTGCAGAAGAGGAAGAAGTAGCTAAGCCGGCGTCTCGCAGATCGTCTTCGAGTGAAAGTCGTGATTCGGATTCCGACAACGATAAAAAGTTAGTTTCTTAGGCAACTTTTCGTGCAAACATAATGTCTTATATCTTTATCTTATTCAGTTGCACTTATATCTGATCATTATATTTTAGATCAATTACCAGCAACAAAGCTAGACCTAAAAAACCAGTGTATATTAGTACTAAGGAAGACCTAAACAAAATCCGATTGTCCCGTCACAAAATGGAGAGATTCGTTCATTTACCTTTCTTTGACAGAGTAGTGCAGGGTTGCTTTGTCAGAATCGGAATCGGCAATAATAACGGTAAACCTGTCTATAGAGTAGCTGAGATAAGTGGTGTATGCGAAACAGGAAAGATTTATCAGCTTGGCGGCACAAGAACGAATAAGGGACTTAAATTGCGTCATGGTGCACAGGAACGTGTATTTAGATTGGAATTTGTCTCAAATCAGGAATTCACGGATTCAGAATTCTTTAAATGGAAAGAAACCTGCGCGCTGCAAGGAATATCGATGCCTACGTTTGACGAAGTAGAACAGAAATTAAAAGATATTAAAGAAGCATTAGTATACGAATTCAAAGAAGAGGATATAGAAAAAATAGTTCGCGAAAAAGAAAGATTCAAGCAGACGCCTTACAATTATGCAATGAAGAAAGCCCAGCTGATGAGAGAACGCGATGCAGCTAATTGTAGAGGTGATGACGAAACAGCCAGTCGACTTAATCAAGAATTAAGTGAATTGGAAGAACGTGCATCTGAGCTGGACAAAATGCGCACAGCAACAATTTCCAGTATATCGTACATAAATGATCGCAATAGAAAGAAAAATGTGGAGGAAGCTGAGAAGGCTATAATGGTAATTTTTAAAATAAACTGTTATGAGATTTCGATTGATTAACTATGTATATTTTATAACTATATATTTGTTATAATAGGAAGAATTTAAGGCCAATAAAGGTAAGAAGGTCGACGATCCATTCACCAGACGAAGTACTAAGCCAAGGATGGTATACAAGCCGGAAGACGAATCTGAGGTGGTAACAACAGTTTCAGTAAATGATAAATCGAGTCCACATCTGGCCGGAGATTCGATGTCGGCTGCTGATAAGGAAAATGGACAAGAATCGAAGAAAAAGCAAAGTACAGAAGACTTATTTAACGCACATGACTTTGATATAACAATCGATTTGGAAGTTCCTCTTCCGAGTAAGTTACGAGTTTTTGCTTAATAATTAACGAGATGATATAACTTACACATGTGTAAAGGAGAAATATATATTATGTATATTTTTATTTCCTCAGGTAATCCTGTTAGCGTTGTACCGAAGCCTATTAATAATATTAAGGATACAGGACCTCGTCGATCGTTGAATCTAGAAGATTACAAAAAGAAGCGCGGTCTTATCTAACAATTCATATATCTTAAACATCATAAAGATATAAGGTTAAGTTGTCGAGGTTGTCTTGTAGTAACTAGAGGTATTACTTTTATCGAATGCTCCGTTTAACGACAAGAACAGGGAATGTGTTCTTATAATGATTGACTGAGAAATTAGGTTATTTATAACACTCGCAATGTTACAATTAATGGTGACTCCATCTATTTAATACATTGAGTGATGACTGTGCTAATTCTATACTACAACTTCATTCATTTATACTGTATTACAGTTACATGAATAAAGGAATAAAAGAATATTCACGAAACAAACTATACGATACCTGATAACTTTCAGATTCTTATAATTTGATCAAATTTATTCGTATTCGTGTAGATATAATTATTTACATAGAATTATATTGGTAATCGGCGTCGTTCGAAATTATGTCCCATTCCAATATATTCTAATATAAAGAAAGTCGACAGTTATCGTCTATTACAGCACTCAACGTATTAAAGATGGTTTATAAGTAAGAAGGTTCCAACGAAACGGTTCCTATTATGTATCCCAAATAGCGACATTACCATCACCATTGAAATATAATTACGCAACGATTGTGTATGTAGAACAGTTATATGGTATCGAAAGTCTTAAGAATGAGACATATTTTACTAAGTTCTGAGGAAAAATATGATCTATGATATTTTATTCAATACCATATAGAATACCATATAGAATATCCCTCTAGCTCATATATGAACGAAAGAGAGAGAATGGGGAAAAAAGATATGTTTATATCAAATGATAAAATAATTTGCCAAATAAGTAAATTTTTTAAAAATAGAAATATCTTTTGTCTAAGAATTTATTCCAGTCATAGTATATGGCATTTGACAGTATGCCACATGTTGTCTACATGATAGAATAAAAAATCTTCCAAAGGCCATCGGAAAATGAAATACATGTAATTACATAGATAATATTAATTAGACATAACACTTATTTTTTAATTGCATATCTATAGTAATATAGTATTCGTTGATGTATAATATATTGTCATTTTAATGTCTTCATCTCTCTCTTTCTTAATTTGCCCATATCTACTGCCTGTGCAATTTCGATATTTTCTGTTGAAGAAAAAGAAAACTGTATATAAATATTGTATATGAATATTTTGAATTATGATTTTAATCGTTTGATAAATTCTACAAAGAAAAATATCTATTATGATATAATAATGAAAAGAAAATATTTTAGCAATGCTGATCTTCTGATTTATAAATTTTTGAGAGTCTAACTAAATTACTAAAATATTGATTAATATGTTATCTAGCGCTTTTTTATCATTTTAATATCGCCAAAATATATTATGACAACATATATTATGATTTATAATATTATAATTACATGTAGAAAATATG